GCCTCGTCTGGACCTTCAGGATGTCGAATGGCTGGCCCATGAGTCGGTCGTTTCTGGCCGCCAGGAAGGTTTAGCCCACAACTGGGTCCAGCTCAGGCAGTCTTGGCAGTGTTCTGTTTGCCTGAGAGGCTCGCGGCTCCCTCAGCCACCAGCCTCCAAGTGCCCAGGTGCTGACGGCTTGCGAGGCCTTAAGGCGGAAGATGTGTCGCACCTAGGTCACACCAGTGCTGCGTACGATTGCTCGGATGGCTCGTTTGTCGCAGTGTGCACTCGTTGCAAGCTGTATTCGACGGGTGGCAGAGTGCGGGGACTGCGCGAGCGCTGTCCCACGGAGCCCGTTAAGTTGTCTGGTCACTCCGTGCGCGGGCGCAGGCACTGTTGGAATCGTATTGTCAAGGGCTTCCATCCCAAGGAGGATGGCGTCACCCTGCAGTATGTGGACCTGACGGCCGAAGGCACAGAGGATGCCTCCCCTCTTGTTGAGCCTCCTCCCGAGCCCCCCTCCTCTCTGGAGCAGGCCGAGAGCCCAGGTCAGGTGCTGCTCGGAGTAGCAGCCGAGTTGGCACGTTACCGCAGCACTGCGGCGCGGCCTGCGCAGGCCATTTACGAGCCAGTGTCACAGTCGAGCTGCAGTTGCCGAGCGGCCACCAACGCCTTCTTGAAGGCACCCACGTCTGCAGCTGGAGCTGCGACTGGCGCCGCTCTCTCGTCCCCACATTGCGCTGAACCCAGTTTATCGAAATCTGTTGCCAGGACGTCGCGCAGCAGCGCGAACATCTCTAGTAGCAGCGGCATTTCCAGGCTCCCTGTCCAGTCCCCGTTGCCTGGAGCGGGGCATTCTAAAGCCAGGCAGCCTGTGCAGTCCCCTCTGCCTGGTGAGGGGCATTTTCACCCTGACAGCCTCGAGACGGAGGACGAGATGGCTCGTCTTTTGCTCGGAGCTTCCGAGGAGGAGGAGTTGGTCGTCAGATCGTCGTCGGCGGATGGCGGAGGAGGTCCTTTACATCAGGGGCAGTGTGCTGTGTCGTCCTGGCCGCTTTTGCGTCGCATGAGTGGGCGGTTGCACGTGTGTCAGGCACCCCAGTTGTGGGGGAAGGTGCGCAGCACGTGTGTTATGTTCAAACTTCTGGGCCTGGCACGGGGGCGAGTTCAGCCCCGACCGATGCCTTGTCCCACAAGTGTTTTTGTCTCTGCCGCTTGAAGCCTTTGCACCTTGCCTGGGGGCGGGAAACGGTGGGTCCTTTGATCGCTCCGCCCAGTTGGCTCAGGCCGCATCTGGAGGGCCCACCATGGGTGTACTGGCTCTGATGGCGAGGCGGGCCCACACCAGGGGTTGTCCAGAGGCCGTCCAGGCGTCCGCCCACTTGGGTTAGGTACATCTGGGGTGTGCCTGGCTGTCGTCCTGGCGTCGCCCTGTTTCTTTTAGTATGTTTGCGGCCTGATGGTCTCCCACTCTCGTTCTTGGCGGTGCAGGTTACGCAGCCTGCCTTAGTACCCGAGCTTTGCGGTACCGCCTTTTTCTCTTGGCGTACTTGGTATGTGCGAGCGCGCGTGTGGCCCTGCACGAGTGCCAGGCACCCCGCCTCAGGGGGAAGGAGCGCCGCGCATTTCTCATCCCTCCTCTCGGCGGTGCTGGCTACGCAGCCAGCCTTAGTACCCGAGCCTTGGGGTACCGTCGTGTTGGAGGGATTTCAGTGTACTCGTGCTCGGGGCGTACCCCACACCAGTGACGCAGCTTGGCCGCCATCCTGGTGTTTCATTACACCAGGGGCTGGCCAGCTGAGTCGTCCTGTCGCCGCCCAGTTCTTCTGCTGTTGCGGACACTTTCGTCTCGTGCACGTGTGTCAGGCACCCCAGTTGTGGGGGAAGGTGCGCAGCACGTGCGTTCGTTTTGGCTGTGGTTTGGCACGGCGGCCGCCCTCCTTTTAGAGGAAGACGGCGCCCGACTATACCTGTCGTTGTACAGCGTGTGGTCGACTCCGACCGACTGGCGTTTTTCAGCGCCTGACGGTTTCGGTTCGTCCCTTTTTCTCTCTCTTGCCGCTCAGCTCAGCTGCCGCGGCTGCTGCTGTCGTGGCTTCGCCCGTCGCAACGTTGCGTGCTGGCCGTGTCCCGTGCCAGCCGCTGCGGCCGACCCTGGCCTGTACAGGTGTCGTGCCGCTCAGCGCATTTCCCTCCACCTGTGCAGTCGTGGAGGGTCCTGTGCTTATATGGCGTTGATGATGCAAAAAATCCTCCTCCTCCTCCTCCTCCTCCTCCTCCTCCTCCTCCTCCTCCTCCTCCTCTCCTCCTCCTCCTCCTCCGCCCTCCCGCCCCCCGCCCGCCCGCCCGCCGCCCGCCCGCCCTCCCTCCCTCCCTCTCCCTCCCTCCCTCCCTCCGCCCGCCCTCTCCCCTCTCCCCCCCCTCCTCCTCCTCCTCCCTCCTCCCTCCTCCCTCCTCCCTCCTCCCCTCCTCCCTCCTCCTCCTCCTCCTCCTCCTTCCTCTTCCTCCTTCTCCTCCTCCTCCTCCTCATCCTCCTCCTCTTCCGCCTCCTCCTCCTCCTCCTCGTATTATTATTAGTCGTCTTATTAGTGTTCGTATTATTCGTATTGCTATTACGATAAGGACTAGTATTACCATAACTAGTAGTAATGGCGGTCTTCGTATTGTTAATATTAATAGTAGGCATAGCATTATAAGTAGTAAAAGTTCTACGTGTGTTATGAGTAGTAGGAGTAATGGTGTTGGTGATGTTAGTAGTATGAGAAGTGTGACTATTAGTATTCAATTTTGATCGTAGTAGCATTATTACTACTATGATTCGTCGCATTATTAGTATTACTAAGTGTCGTAGTTTCGTGTGTAGTATTAGTAAGTGTATGGTTACGATGATTAATACGACTACTATGTTTATGTGTATCAGTGTCATGGTTGATAATTGTACTAGTAATAATACGCTTAGTCGATTTAGTATCATCAATATTAGTTGGATTACTCTTCGTCGTATTAACCGTAGTAGTATTATTCTTAGTAAGAGTATGTTCTTAATATATTGCTTAGTACTATTAATAGAAGTATGAATATACTGTCATTGTTAGATCAATTGTTTAATTACGACTCGTCTCGTTCGTCTTAGTATTCTTCGTCGTATTAAGATTATTGTCACTAATAGTAGTAATAGTACTAGTCTAGTATTGTTCGTCTTCTTCGTGTTGATAGTCTTATTTGAACTGATCTGTATCCTTCTCCTCCTCCTCCTCCGCCTCCGCCTCCGCCTCCGCCTCCGCCTCCGCCTCCGCCTCCGCCTCCGCCTCCGCCTCCGCCTCCGCCTCCTCCTCCGCCTCCGCCTCCGCCTCCGCCTCCGCTTCCGCCTCCTCCTCCGGTTCCGCCTCCGCCTCCGCCTCCTCCTCCTCCTAAACTGGAGGCCATCTGGGCCTCCCCAAGAATACTGGGGTCACCGTGGGCCGGAGATACCTGTAGCAACACCCGTCCACTGCCCCGAGCACGCCGGCAACCGCTCTCGCTCGACCTCGGACAGCGTCAAGCGGCAGCTCGTGGGGAAGCCGCTCGCAAGTTCGAGCGGGCGGCGTCTCTCTACCTTCCCCCGTCCGCAAGCGACCAGCTCGCGTGCAGAGGCGTGCGGCCGCCGACAACAGCCCAGTGCCCAGACATGATGCCAAGAGACGAAGAAGACGAGGGGGGCAGAAGCAGCAGCAGCAGTGGCAAGATGACCGCAGACGGGCAAGTCTTCCCGATCGCTGCTCCAGGGCCCAGCATGGACGGGGCCAGGGCTGGTGCCTGCTGGCCCCGCAGAGCGGGTCGAGAAGTTCAGGGATCCACGTTTCCGAAAAATCATGCCGCCAATATGTGTGGGCTTGCCCGCGGCGGCTGCCTGGGCTGGCTGGGCCGCAAGCCGTCTCGTGAAGATCGGGCAGCCGGGGGCGTCCAACGAGACGCATGTCTCCAAGGTGGACGGCGTGGGCGCGGGCCACAACGGCCTCGAGCCCAAGCGGCCTTCAGCAGTCGCCAGGAGGGAGAAGGGAAGTGCGCCGTCACAGGCGTGAAAGGGCGTGAGAGGTTACCTCTTGGAGGGGCGTAGCTGGGGCCCTAAGCTCTACGTCGCATGGGCCGAGATAGGCGCCAAACGTCGTTACCAAAGACGGTGCCCGCAACGACGCTATACATCTGCGGAGGGTCATGCCCCTCATGCCGACCTCGGGGGGGAAGAGGGAGCGGAGGAGGAGGAGGAGGAGGAGGAGGACGGAGGAGGGGAGGAAGGAGGACACAGACACAGGACTGTCACTGGTGCGAGCAGCCGAGCCGAAATAAGAGAAGGCTGAGGCTGAGAGAGCGGAAGGGCGTCGGGAGGAGCCGCAAGATCCGCTCTGGAGAATGGGCGCCGGGGCAAAACGCCAGCCAACAGTAGGGGCCCTTACACAGGAAACCTTCCACAAGAAACCCAACCCTGAGACCCCAGGGCGTCTATTGATTTCTGGTGTGGGGACGTCACGCTCTCCATAGCAAAGCCATCGAAACCCAAGAAACCCAGTGCACCCTGGAGGCAAGCAGGGTGCTTCGTGGCATGGGCAGAACGCCAGCCTACTCCGCGCTCCTGACACGCCCAACCCCCCCAACCAAGTCAGCCAGTCGGAGCACAGGCGGGCCGCCACCTGCTCCGTCCACGGAGAGGGCACCGCAGTGCCATGCACGCTGGAGTTTGCCAGCGTGAACGTTCGGGTCCTCCCCACCATCCCACCACCACCACCACCACCACCACAATCGTCAGACGGCTGCGCACGGCTGCGAGAGCGAGGAGGAGAGGGAGGAGGAGGAGGAGGAGGAGGAGGAGGAGGAGGAGGAGGAGGAGGAGGAGGAGGAGGAGGACCCATTGGCTGTGACCAATTGGGTAGATTCCCGAGAATACGCGGCACGAATGCGACCACGAAGACGACCACGACCGCGACGGCGAACGCGACGACGACGACGACGACGACGACGACGACGACTAAGACGACCCCTGCCTGCGGCAGCTGGTGCCAGCGCCTCGCTGGCCACGTCGCCCAGCTGCGCGGCCGCCGCGGGCGCCGTCGCCGCCAGGGGGGGGGCGACGACGTTGAGGAAGGACGGAAGAGCGAAGAGGAAAGAGGGAGAACAGAGGACACAGGAGCGAGAGGGAAGGGGGTGAAGAGGAACAAAAGACGAAACGGTGCGAAGGAATGGGGGATGGTAGGGAGGAGGAGAAGGAGGAGGAGGAGGGGGATGGAGGACAACGCAGGGCGGAGGAGGAGGAGGAGGAGGAGCAGGGGACGGGCGGACGAAGAGGCGGACCGCGTGCGGGCGGAGAGGGGGGCAAGGGTGACCAGGCCACGGCAGCAACCGCGCGAGAGGCACGCCGCGCGCCGCCCCCCTCCCGAGCGCGAGCGCCAAAAAATCGCCGCCCTGGAGGGGCACGGCTCCTCCGAGCCAGCGGGGGCCGCGGGGGGCCTCGGCCCCCGCGGCCGCGCGAGGGGGCCCCGGAGAGCCGAGGCGGGCGCGCGGCGGCGGGGCCGCGGCCGCGGCCGCGGGGGCGCGGGCGGCCCCCGGGGCTCCGGCTGGGCCGCGGTGGAGTGGCCCAAGGGCACGGGACGAGCAGGCTGCGAAAAACAGTTATATATCAATATCTATATATATAAACATATACATATATATACATATATATATATATATATATATATATATATATATTCGCCGGCCCAACGGGCCAGAGGCGTGCTAAGATCTCCGGTAACTTGTTAACAATATTTCTAGTTCGCGCGCGCGGAGCGGCCCCTGGGGGCCCCCGGACGAAAAGTACCCCGGCAAGGTCCCGAGAGAAGCCCGGGAGAAGCCACCAGACCACTCCAGGGGAGGGTATTTTTCGACACCCCTCACGAGGATCGTGGCCTCCGAGGGGGGAGCCGCAATCGACTACCCCCAAGAGCCCCCCAAGAGGCCCTGGGGGCCTCCAAAACGCCGCCAAGGAGCCCCAAGAGACTCCCAAGAGGTCCCCAAGAGGCCCCCAAGAGGCCCTAAAGAGGGCTCCAGGGCCGGCGGCATGAGCGAAGCGATTAATAGATAGATAGATATTATATCTATGAAAATAAATAAACAAATGACATATGTATATATATATATGCGTGTACATAAAACAAGTAACCATACGTTAAGTTGTTTTTAAAAGAATAAAAAAAGAAAGGAAAAACAACAAAACAAAAAAAACGCATGCATACATA